TATTTGTATATATACTGTATGTTAGCGAGCCTGTTTGTGTGTGTGTTTTGTGATTGATTTCTGAGGGTCTAACATGATTTAGGTACCGTAATTCAATAATTAAATGTAAAATAATACTGCAGAATTAATCACTAGTGAAGTTCATACATTCATATTCTTTTCGGCATAGTCCCTTTATTAATCTGGGGTCACCACACCAGAATGAACCGCCAACTTATTCAGCACATGTTTTACGCAGTGGATGCCCTTCCAGCTGCAACCCATCTCTGGGAAACATTCATACACATTCATTCACACTCATACATACATTGCAGACAATTTATCTAATCCAATTCACCTGTACCGCATGTCTTTGGACAGTGGAGGAAACTGGAGCACCCGGAGGAAACCCACGGGAACGCAGGGAGAACATGCTAACTCCACACAGAAATGCCAACTGACCCAGCCGAGACTCGAACCAGCGACCTTCTTGCTATGAGGCGACAGCACTATCTACTGAACCACTGCGTCGCCCACTAGTAAAGTTACAAATGGTAAAAAAAAGGTATGCCCGAATGGTGGAATATGACTATTGCAAATGATCACATTGCGATGTCAATGCTTAAACGTTACATTGTGCAGCCGTAGTCTGTGTGTGTGAGTGTGACCTGGTCTCGATGCCCTCTGGCTGCAGAAAGTAACAGTGAAGACAGCTGTATGACCCCTGAGCTCGACTGCTGTTCCTGGAAGCTCCTCCCTCTTCATCAGACTCGTTCTCTGGAAGCGCTTTAATAATCTTCACAAACGACTCAGGGAAGATGCCAGTTCTGTCCCTCACTGTGCCCTACAGAGGGAACACCAGCAGGAAAAGATGAGGAGATCTGTCTGTCAATCTCTCTTTCTGTCTTTCTCTATCTCTCTTTGTTTGTCTGTCTCTCTTTCTCGCTGTCTGTTCGTCTATCTCTAAGTCCACCCGTTTGCCATCAGACTGTCTGTCTGCTTTCTATCTTTCTGTCTCTCTGTCTGTCTATCTTTCTGTCTGTCCTTCTGTCTGTTTGTCTATCTATCTCCCTCCTTGTCCGTCTATCTTTTTGTCTGTCTGTCCATCTTTCTGTCTGTCTCTCTGTCCGTCTGCTTTCTGTCTGTCTCTCTCTGTCCGTCTGTCTGCTTTCTGTCAGTCTATCTGTCTGTCTACTTTCTGTCTGACTGTCTCTCTCTCTCTCTCTCTCTGTCCGCACATCCATCTGTTTGTCTCTCAGTCCATTTGTTTGTCTGGTTTCTGTCTGTCTGTCGGTCTCTCTGTCTGTCTTTCCATCCGTCTCTCTGCTTTCTGTCTATCTCTCTCAATGTTCGTCCAACAGTCTCTCTGCATGTCAGCTTTCTATCTGTCTGTCTGTCTGTCTGTCTGTCTATCTGTTGGTCTGTCTGTCTATATCTATCTATCTATCTATCTATCTATCTATCTATCTATTTATCTATCTATCTATCTATCTATCTATCTATCTATCTATCTATCTATCTATCTATCTATCTATCTATCTATCTATCTATCTATCTATTTGTCTATCTATCTGTCTCTCTCTCTGTCTGTCTGTCTGTCTATTTGTGAGTCTGTCTGTCTGTCTGTCTGTATCTATCTATCTATCTATCTATCTATCTATCTATCTATCTATCTATCTATCTATCTATCTATCTATCTATCTATCTGTCTGTCTGTCTGTCTGTCTGTCTGTCTGTCTGTCTGTCTATTTGTCGGTCTGTCTGTCTCTATCTATCTATCTATCTATCTATCTATCTATCTATCTATCTATCTATCTATCTATCTATCTGTCTGTCTGTCTGTCTGTCTGTCTGTCTGTCTGTCTGTCTGTCTGTCTGTCTGTCTGTCTGTCTGTCGGTCAGTCTCTATCTATCTATCTATCTATCTATCTATCTATCTATCTATCTATCTATCTATTTATCTATCTATCTATCTATCTATCTATCTATCTATCTATCTATCTATCTATCTATCTATCTATCTATCTATTTGTCTATCTATCTGTCTCTCTCTCTGTCTGTCTGTCTGTCTATTTGTGAGTCTGTCTGTCTGTCTGTCTGTATCTATCTATCTATCTATCTATCTATCTATCTATCTATCTATCTATCTATCTATCTATCTATCTATCTATCTATCTATCTATCTATCTATCTATCTATCTATCTGTCTGTCTGTCTGTCTGTCTGTCTGTCTGTCTGTCTGTCTGTCTGTCTGTCTGTCTGTCTGTCTATTTGTCGGTCTGTCTGTCTCTATCTATCTATCTATCTATCTATCTATCTATCTATCTATCTATCTATCTATCTATCTATCTATCTATCTATCTATCTGTCTGTCTGTCTGTCTGTCTGTCTGTCTGTCTGTCTGTCTGTCTGTCTGTCTGTCTGTCTGTCTGTCGGTCAGTCTCTATCTATCTATCTATCTATCTATCTATCTATCTATCTATCTATCTATCTATCTATCTATCTATCTATCTATCTATCTATCTATCTATCTATCTATCTATCTATCTATCTATCTATCTATCTATCTATCTATCTATCTATCCATCCATCCATCCATGTTGCTGTTTTTTTCTTGTACCTCAGGCAGGGTAGATCTGATCTGATGAGAGTGGTTGACAGATTAAGGCGGCAGGGGTTTTACTGTTCCCAGAAGTGAGACGGATAATGACCACTATGCCTCAGATCTTCAGACACATTAGATGCATTCAAGCAAAAAAAGGAGTTTAGATGGCAATGAACTACAAAATTACAACTTGATCTTTCTCTTTCACCCTCCCTCATCTTGATAATGTTATTTGAGGGTCCATTGCATGTCTATGGAATATCCAATTCTCTCTCTCTCTCCCTTTGCAATTCAATTCAGGTCAAATCTTTCTCCTTTACTGTCTTGGCCTGAAAAAAATAAAAGCAATCTGTGTGAGTTCAGATCAGATCTGCTCAATCTCAGTGTCCCACTCCAATACAAATGTCTTTTACCTCTTTTCCTTTACTTTTTTTAATGTCATCATTTTTCAGTTCTCCCTTCATCATTTAGTTTTGTCCTTACATTTAGCCTCTTCTTCCTTCTCAGGGCGACTTCTGTACTCTAACACACAATCCAGGCTCATTATAGATATTTATCCCTGTATACATTACTAGAGAGTGTTAAATACATCCCAAGAGGTATGTTCTTTTGCAGTTTTTAGCAAATCCACCAGAGGTCTATGTGTACGTTTTTTTAGAACTCAAATTTCTCTTGGGGGTGCTATTCACGCCTGCTGTTTTTCCCTAAATCCACCAGAGGCTGCTGGCGACTGACTGACTTACCAACCGATGTCCCCACTCACCCCCTTTTCTAAACCCAACTGACATTGTTTTCAAAAGCAGAAAAAAAACAGATTTTTACTTTTCTTTTACCTACTTTTTTTTTTAGATCTAACCATGTTCTCATCCTGTTATTTACTCTCTGCATCTACATCAAAACTTAATTTTAGATTTTCAACATTTTGCTTATTCTAATGAAATTGGTTGTGAAAGTATTTTGTTGTAATTTATTTTTCTAAATTTCAAGGTCACAAGTTATTTATATACTCAAGCACAGTAGAAAAATAAGTAAGATATTTCAAAAAGAAAAATTTAAACACACCCTACCCCTACCACATCTTATGATGCACAATAATTATTTATGACAATAGACAGAAAAATAAAATAAAATAATCGTTCAAAAATAAAAATGCATGAAATTGCATAAAAAATAAGTGTGAAATCGTGTAAAAATATTAAAAAAATGAAATCATGTAAAATATAAAATAATCGTAAAAGCATGTAAAAATAAATAAAGCTTGAAATCTTGTAAAAATAAAATAAGCATGAAATCACATGAAAATAAAATAAGTGTGAAATCGTCTAAAAATAAGCGTGTAATCATGTAAAAATAAAATAAGAGTGAAATCGTGTAAAAATAAAAAAGCGTGAAATTGTGTAAAAATAAAAAAGTGAAATCATGTAAAACTAAAAAAAATGTAAAATCATGTAAAAATAAAAAAGCGTGAAATTGCACAAAAATAAGGGTAAAATTGTTTTTAAATAAATGAAGCGTAAAATCACGTAAAATATAAAAAAATTAGAAATCATGGAAAAATAAAATAAGTGTAAAATCATGTAAAAATAAAAAACTGAGGTTGGGTTTAGGGGTTTAGGTGGATCAATTGTTGCTTTTCAAAATGGTATTGGTTGGGTTTAGGGAATGGGGAGGGTGAGGGTACCAGTCAGCTGGTCAGCAGAAAGTCAGTCGGTCGACAGTGGATTTACGTGAGAAGACAACACCCATGACTCCACAAAGTCAAGTGGTGCTCGCTGCAGAGCCATTTGAGGAGAGCTGAGCTCCAGCGAGGGGGAGCTTAAGCTTGAGCTCCACCTTTTTTGCACTTCTTCTACGAGTGATGTCACTGGGGGTAGGGTTAGGGGTGGGGTTGGTGTACGCATTAAAACAGCTTACAGGAGGAGGAGCGACAGCTCATGCTCCCCCTCGCTGGAGCTCAGCTCTCCTCAAATGGCTCTGCAGCGAGCACCCTCTCCACAAAGTGGCGCAAATGGATTTGCTATTTAAGCAATGTGGTGCAAAGCGGGAAAATTAGGGTTGCGTGGGTCTGAAAAAAGCAACAAACGTATGATAGGACCCTAAATGTGTTTCCATCATAGTTTAATGAGCGTTTGTTCTTATCTGATAAAAGTTTACCCTGCTCAATTGTGCACATACAATTTTTTAATGTGCATTTTCAAAATGTACCGTATGAGGATCTCATCATTTCCATTAAGCATATGATATTCCAAAATGTGCTTAAAAACAGGTGGATGGAAACATAGTTAGCGGCGTAGCAAGTCATCATCTTAAAAGCTACAATCACACTTACAGATACCTCCAAACGTTAATGAGATCACGCTACTCCATCCTTTTACTCTCTCCCTCCCTTTTTTCTCTTACAAACCCTCCTCTCCCTCTCTCTCTCTGCTGTCCTCCTTCCTACCTACCCTCTTCTACCTTTCTCTCTCCCTCTGTCCTGTTATTCGTCTCTCTCACCTCCAGCCAGTCTGCATTGACTCTCCGCAGGAGGAAGATCACATCTCCAGCCTTCAGACTGAGCTCCAGGCGTCCGCTGCCGCTGAAGTCAAACACCGCCTAACACACACACAAAGAGCGAGGACACGCAAGCAGGAGACACACACACACCAACGGAGGGAAAGAGAGAGAAAGACATCCTGAGTGAGACCGAGCTGCCGGTAAGAGATCCTGGTTCTTTGAAAACTTTGAAGAGAGTGAATGAATGGGAGGAAACTGAGAAAAAGACAATAAGAGGGATTCTGGAGTGATTCTGCTCTTCATAAGAAATGAGAGCGATGATTGTTTCTATTGTAGTTTTGTTTTCCTTTTAACACTTCCAAAGCGCAGAGTGGAATGCTGAATTGTTCGCTTTTTTTTTCTTTTCTTTTGACATCAGATTTTAGTAGCATGTTGTGCAATTGCGAAATCATTTTTGTATTTTGTGGCTAAAGAAGAGCACAGGTTTACATGTACTATGAAACAAGGTACTTTATGCATGTACTATTACAAAAAACATGCAAAGCTATTGTCCTTAAGCAAAATGGTTTTAGACCTGTACAATGAAAGAATCATAGTATTTTGAAACATACAATGGTATTACTGTGGTATTCATAAAAAACAGCATATCTATTTTAAATGCTTTTTGAGATTACACTTAAATATTATAGATTAATCACAGATCTATCTATCTATCTATCTATCTATCTATCTATCTATCTATCTATCTATCTATCTATCTATCTATCTATCTATCTATCTATCTATCTATCTATCTATCTATCTATCTATCTATCTATCTATCTATCTTATCTAGTAAACTTCATACCCATCCATCCATCCATCGTCCGTCCATCCATCCATCCATCCATCCATCCATCCATCCATCCATCCATCCATCCATCCATCCATCCATCCATCCATCCATCTGTTTTCATATCTATCTATCTATCTATCTATCTATCTATCTATCTATCTATCTATCTATCTATCTATCTAGTAAACTTCATACACATCCATCCATCCATCGATCGTCCGTCCATCCATCCACCCATCTATCCAACCATCCATCCATCCATCCATCCATCCAACCAACTAACCAACCATCCATCCATCCATCCATCCATCCATCCATCCATCCATCCATCTATGTTTTCATATCTATCTATCTATCTATCTATCTATCTATCTATCTATCTATCTATCTATCTATCTATCTATCTATCTATCTATCTATCTATCTATCTATCTATCTATCTATCTATCTATCTATCTTATCTAGTAAACTTCATACCCATCCATCCATCCATCGTCCGTCCATCCATCCATCCATCCATCCACCCACCCATCCATCCAACCATCCATCCATCCATCCATCCATCCATCCATCCATCCATCCATCCATCCATCCATCTGTTTTCATATCTATCTATCTATCTATCTATCTATCTATCTATCTATCTATCTATCTATCTATCTATCTATCTATCTATCTATCTATCTATCTATCTATCTATCTATCTATCTAGTAAACTTTATATACATCCATCCATCCATCCATCCATCCATCCATCCATCCATCCATCCATCCATCCATCCATCCATCCATCTATCTATCTATCTATCTATCTATCTATCTATCTATCTATCTATCTATCTATCTATCTATCTATCTATCTATCTATCTATCCATCTAGTAAACTTCATATACATCCATCCATTCATCGTCCGTCCATCCATCCATCCATCCATCCATCCATCCATCCATCCATCCATCCATCCATCCATCCATCCATCTATCTGTTTTCATATCTATCTATCTATCTATCTATCTATCTATCTATCTATCTATCTATCTATCTATCTATCTATCTATCTATCTATCTATCTTATCTAGTAAACTTCATACCCATCCATCCATCCATCGTCCGTCCATCCATCCATCCATCCATCCATCCATCCATCCATCCATCCATCCATCCATCCATCCATCCATCTGTTTTCATATCTATCTATCTATCTATCTATCTATCTATCTATCTATCTATCTATCTATCTATCTATCTATCTATCTATCTATCTATCTATCTATCTATCTATCTATCTATCTATCTATCTATCTAGTAAACTTCATACACATCCATCCATCCATCGATCGTCCGTCCATCCATCCACCCATCTATCCAACCATCCATCCATCCATCCATCCAACCAACTAACCAACCATCCATCCATCCATCCATCCATCCATCCATCCATCTATGTTTTCATATCTATCTATCTATCTATCTATCTATCTATCTATCTATCTATCTATCTATCTATCTATCTATCTATCTATCTATCTATCTATCTATCTATCTTATCTAGTAAACTTCATACCCATCCATCCATCCATCGTCCGTCCATCCATCCATCCATCCATCCACCCACCCATCCATCCAACCATCCATCCATCCATCCATCCATCCATCCATCCATCCATCCATCCATCCATCCATCTGTTTTCATATCTATCTATCTATCTATCTATCTATCTATCTATCTATCTATCTATCTATCTATCTATCTATCTATCTATCTATCTATCTATCTATCTATCTATCTATCTATCTATCTAGTAAACTTTATATACATCCATCCATCCATCCATCCATCCATCCATCCATCCATCCATCCATTCATCCATCCATCTATCTGTTTTCATATCTATCTATCTATCTATCTATCTATCTATCTATCTATCTATCTATCTATCTATCTATCTATCTATCTATCTATCTATCTATCTATCTATCTATCTATCTATCTATCTATCTATCCATCTAGTAAACTTCATATACATCCATCCATTCATCGTCCGTCCATCCATCCATCCATCCATCCATCCATCCATCCATCCATCTATCTGTTTTCATATCTATCTATCTATCTATCTATCTATCTATCTATCTATCTATCTATCTATCTATCTATCTATCTATCTATCTATCTATCTATCTATCTATCTATCTATCTATCTATCTATCTATCTATCTAGTAAACTTCATATACATCCATCCATCCATCGTCCGTCCATCCATCGATCCATCCATCGATCCATCCATCAATCAAACTTAATATACATCTTTCCGTGCATCCATCCATTCCTCCACCCATCCATCTTTTAAACTTCATATCTATCTATCTGTCTGTCATCCGTCTTTTAGAAAATAAAACATAAAGTGAGCAAAACATCAAAAGAATGAAAGCAAAACTAAAAAAACTCAATTCAAAAGTCATTGATGTGTGTGAAAGTGATATTAAAGATACTAAATGAAAAAATAATTGAAAAGCCGCTGCAAAAGAACATACATTATCAGTCCTTAAGCGTACCGCAATCAAAAGAAACCAAGATCTCAAACACAATTTCTTCAAGAATCAACTTTCTTTCACATATAGTTTCAACGATTTTTTTGACAAAATAGACACATTAGAGACATCAAGTAATAAAATAAAACTATAAAATGACAGCATTTCAATGTTATGTCAATCTATTATAAATATTTATTTAAAAAAAGTAATTTTACACAAACTTAAACATGCACGCTGATGCAGCTCACTACATCATTGATCGTAGGGTATATAGTGGGCTGGTGTTTCTGCTGTGTGTAACTGTACGCTAAACACACACATGCATGTGTTCATTTGTGTGTGTGTATGTGTGTGTGTGTGTGTGTGTGTGTGTGTGTGTGTGTGTGTGTGTGTGATGGGCATGAGTGGGCATCTGTTCTCACGCTATCTCTGTATGTTTAAATAATGTTGTAAATCTGCTGAGCTGTGGGTCGCTTGGTTTGTTTGCATGAGTAGGAGTGTGTAGGTGAGACGTGTTAGATGTTAGCAGCTAATTACATCTTGGCAGTTGCTTTAAGTGTAAGCACGCATGTGTGTGTGTGTGTGTGTGTGTGTGTGTGTGTGTGTGTGTCCGTGCACGCTCGTAGGCAGCATCTGAACAGAAAGATACAATTTGTGCCAAAATGCGATGTGAAATTCTCCACAAAGTCATGCGAACAGAGCAAGTATCAGCGCAGGCTCAGTAACATCAGATGAAGAAACTATTTCAGGCCCGCTGCTGCTGTGAAACCCTAAAAATGGCTTCTGGGTCAGTTGTGTGGGTTAACTTTGTTATATAGTGCAGGAGAGTAACTGGGTATAATAATTGGCTTCTTTAGCCACCCTAAAATGAGGCTATATTTTAAGCTGCAAAAAATCTAGTATGATATTTCCTAGAAAAGAGGACGCTACATATTGAAATTGTGACAACCCCACAAAACTAGTAAAACAAGCTTGTTATAACCAACAAACTGCATGCCGTCGGACCAATATCAAGAGCTAACAGCAAAACAACACCTCATATTGGGCTAACGTTTTCTTTTGCGCCTTGTCTCTTGTCTTTTTATTACACGGTTAAACAACACTGGATATTAAACAGGTCTTGGAAATGTGTGAGAATTGTGCCACTGCTATGTGGAAATTTGACAAAGCAATTTCCTTTCCCTTAGTTTTCCCAATGTAATATATGTGCTAATTAGCCTAGCGCTGAGAAAGGTTCTCTGTAGCTTTAGCATCGCTGCAGTGCCTTACTAGGCAGCTTTGTATTGAAACTAATATCCTTTTCATTGATTTTTTTTTCTTCTGCAACTGAACTACTGAACGTACAAAGCTACATTTAAAAGGTGTAGATTATGTTACCCTTAGCTGCACAAGCCATTTTGATAGTTCGTCCAAAAATGAAACATCAGTTATCATGTACGCAGCCTCATTGTAAAAAATGTGGTCTTAGGACAAATCGATTAAGTGAAATTAACAGATTTAAGTGGATTGAACATAAAATAATTAAGTTGTCCCTAAAATCTATTAAGAATTGTGTTGTTTTAGCTCATTTTGAATAAGTATTTTGAACAAGCAGCAAAAACCACCAAAAATTTTGGGTTCGACACAGTTCATTCATGTTGTCTCAACGCCAATCGATTAAGTTAACTTAACTCTTTTAACCAATTTATGTGGATTGAACATAAAAAATTACACTGAAAAAACTGTTGCATGCGGAACTGTTGCAAACAATTTATTTGTGTTGAATTTAAACAAACAAATTAAGTTTTATAATGTTCAACTTAATTTGTTTGCTTAAATTCAACACAAA